TTGCCCTGGAATCTACTGTCCTGGTTCCCTGCTCAGTCCCCTTTTTGAACTGGCGAATGGGCGACTTCCCGTGGCTCCAATCACCAGCCAAAAGGGCCCCCGGACCGGTGTATTTTGTACGGAGAACCTCGGCTCCGGGGCGCTGACAAAGCAGCCGCACGGGGCAAAGCAGCGGCGCTGGCCGGCACAACTGCGCTGAAACAGCCGCGCTGGCGACCGTGGAGCACCTCCGCCCGGGAGTTTCCTAGTCTGTGGGCAATAGAAACGCGGCGTCCACTCACCCTCTGCGCTTTCACTGGGAGCTGCAATCCTGAGCTGTTCCTAAACGGCCATCTTGGATCGTCCTCCTTGTTTTGCTTTCTTATAGAAGTCTTTTGATGAACATAAGTTTCTTGATTTTATTCTAATTTTTACATCTTTTTTATGGTTAGGGCTTTATGTCTCTTTGTTAAGCCCTTCCCTACTCCAAAGCAGGAAGAAATCCACATTTTATTACATGTTTTAATGTTTTGCTTTTGATGTAAAAATCTTAAACTGTATAGAGTTTATTTTTGTGTAACGTGCATGGCAGGGGTACATTTTATTTTTTTTTCTTGTTAATAATCACTATTTCTAGGTTCTTTTACTGAACAGTCTCCTCTTTTCACAGTAATCTGCCATGCCGTTTTGATAGACACTTAAGTTCCATTTATTTTTAGATGTCTTTCTATGCTCCCCCTTCTGTATACTGTCTTTTCAGTTCTTGTATTTGGGTACTGGGTTCACAGGTCTCTATTACATTATTCACATATTTATTAAAAGAAATATGTTAAATTACAGAGGGTCGGGCATTGACCAATAACGAAAGTGTCTCATGAATTAAATATTATGATTAATTCAAATCTGTGAGCCCAAGGCCCATCAAAGGGATAAAATAAATAAATGATGCTACTAAGAACAGTCCTGTTCATGTTCTTTTTCTCTCTTTCTTGCCTAAGGACAAGTTCCCCGAAATGAGGGAGCAAGTGGATACAAAATACTTTTAAAGGTTTTAACTGTGAACTTAAATGTTTTCCAAAGGGACACACACATTAGTCTTTGTGGCAAAGAGTCTAGCATTTAAATTCAGAGTTCTGCCTCTGTGGCATCCATTGCCTCGCTCCTTTTGTTCCTGACTCCTTCCTTACCACTTCCCCACCACACTGATCGTTGTTTTATACCACTAAGAGGCAATATATTTCTTCTTCAACCCCTGTCTGTACCTGCTAAAGCAGCACCCACAGACCCTACTGTAGTTGGCCAGATTAAAAATACAAATAATTTCTGGCCTCACGCTTGTCTCCCTCTTTTCATTTTTATTTGTGATATGAATTTTCTAGCTAGTTTGCTCTGTTCCCAGATATACTCACAGCTTGCTCTTTTAGCTTGATTGGTTATATCGTCACTCAGATGTCACCTTCCTCAGTAAGACCTTTCAAGACCACCCATTTAAAATGGCAACCCTTCACTCTTGATCCCCACTGTCTCCCTCTTGTGCTTTTTGTTCATATAACTTATCACCACTTGTCTGTCTCCCCTTCATCATAATTTGGAGCTTAGATGTTTTTTGTCCACGGATGTATTCTCAGCATCTACAACAATACTTTAAACATGATAGATGCTTTGTGAACATTTGTGAATATTATTACAACAAAGCACATAGATGTTGTTCAATATATGTGTTAGCTGAGTGACTGAAGTTCAGAGGACTCAAAGGACCCACGATTATACTTAACATTTTTTGGCCTCTGTCCCACTGGAGGTCTGGGGGTAGCCGAAGCCTCGGGTTGTCACGCTGGAATTGCTGGCTGAAAGACAAAATTATTTTCAGAATATAGCTTTTTTAGAAAGCTGTAATTTAACTTTGCTTTGATGCACAGAATTTTTAATCTATGTGACTTTTGGGAAATCTGAAATTGAAAATGTGCTTCCCTATGCAGGAACACTAGCTGGCATATTAAGCAAAAGCTCTGTAGTTTATATTTAATGCCAGCTTGTCACTAATTTGTGTTCTTTTTCTGTTCTTGTCACTAACTCAGATCACTGAGAGTATTGTGAAGACTACTTTAATATTGCCTTAAAATCCCTTGACAGATAAAAGGTACACTATAATAACAAGTCACCAACCCTTATTTTTTAAGACTGTAGAAATTATTATATTAATATAGTCACTGTAGAGTAACTCAAAACCAAGGTATTAACATCAAATGAAAAATACAGCTGTTTGCTGAAATGTCAACATTATAGAAGCAGTAGTAAAACTTGTGCTGTCTCTTTCCAATCATGGAGGAAAACCTTGCCAAACTCACATTGAGGAGTGCTGTTTGGTTTCGAGGCACTCACATCTCCAAGAGTCACTGAAGATGTAGCCGGATATCCTATTTTGAAAACAAAATTCCAAATTATTATATGTATTTACATTCATATATTTACCTGTGCCTGGAATATTAGGGTTGGAAAGAATCTTAGTGAATAGCCTCATTTTGTAAATGATGAGACGGGATCTAAAAAGAATATCCTTGTGGTTAAATAACCAATATCCAATATCATTTCTTTGCTGTTAACCCAGTTCTCCTAATTCCTAATGCATTACATTCACACTTTCAAAATATATTATTTTGGTGTCTACTGTGTGTCAGACTCTATTCTGCATGCTGGGGTTATAGCAATAAACAGTGAAGGCAGGGTCCCTGCTCTCATGAACCTTACCTTATAGTGAATTTTCACAAATACTATTGTGAAAATAGTATCTTCACATACTAAGTATGGTTTCATATTTTCTTCAGTTGTTAGTTTGCAAAGTCATTTCTCCATCTTTATACTCCATAATTGTACATTCTCTTCCTTCCCCCTTACTCCCCCCAAATGAAAGACTGATTCATATTCATTTGAAAATAGCTCTATATTTTAGAGGTATTATGTAAAGCAAGGTAGATTAAAGAAGAAAAATATCCAACCACAGTTCACTGAAGTCATGTTTATATCTCTTGGAAAGAAAAAATTTTAAATACATTTTGCATGTATTTCTCCTTTGTTCCAAAATGTATTCAAGGTGGTTTACATCAATGTGCAATGCAATAAGATAAAAGCGGAAACGGAAAATACGAACAAGGAAAATAAAGTAGAAAAAATATGTTGATTCCTGCTGAAACTTAAATGGGGATAGTGCACAAAGAGCATTTTGTGATCTCCTATGCTTTTAGTAGATGTAGGCCCCACATTTGGTCTGACCTTTCTGGTAGTAAATGCCAAGAAATAAAGAGTTCAGGTTATGTGATTGATGAATATAATAAGATAAGGCAGCATTATTATTAATACAGTTATTAAAAAAGTTATTCTTTTTATTGTAATTAGAAAGAAACTTTTCCCCAGATAGTCATAAAAAGAGCACTGTATAATGTGTAAAGTATCCTATAAAATATCTTTACAGTATGATAGCCTGTATGTTCATTCATCCTCAAGCTGTAGTTAGTGGTCAATGGCAGCCAGCTTTCCTGGTACCTCAATTCTGTGCAAGGGCATGCCTTAAATAGAGAACATAGGCAATCAAATCAAATAAATAAGTCGGCATTGTGGATTATGTATTTATAAACCAGAAGTTCACATCCAGAGGTAATCAATGATAATCTTTTTATTTTTTATTTTTTTGCAATGAAGCCCATCAGTGAACTACAAAGAGATACTTACTACACTGTGACTTCATGATTACAAGAGTCATACATATAAAATACTTAGAAGTGTGCCTGGAATACAGTAAATGCTAAAAAGTATATCTTAGAAGCCATAAAACAGGTAACTTGCAGTTTAGTTCAGATGTTGATAATACAAGCATATTCTAACTATAAGCCACTTGAATCTCCTGAGGAGTTCCACAATTGTCCCATTTTCCTTGGTCTTTATGGAAGAAAGTTGACCTAAGGTAACTAATCCCTGCTTCCTCAGCCTGGCCCAAGTTCAAGAACTACGTTCCAAAGTGTTGTACCAGAAAAGGGCTAATTGTCAGAAATGAAGAGTGTGATAGGAGGCTGGGGCATTAGCTTTATGGTAGGGTAGTAACTTCTCACTGGCAGAATCACCTACAGTTCTTCTCCTCTGCCATCCCACTGAGCCATCAGTACCAGATTCTTCTGCAGAAATTGTAACTTCTAGCTCACTGCCCCCCACCATTCACTAAAGGCTGTGTTAATAAAAAAAAGTGCACAAGATTGCTTACCTAAAGGATATGGGATGCTTTTGTAGATTGCTTTGAACTAGTATTGGAACCACATTCCTAGTCACTGTGGAATTGCTCTTTTAGTACTGAGGATTTTCCCATTGTCTGACACTAGATGACAGTCTAATAGTCGGGACATGGGGAAGGGTCGCCATTGTTCACTCGCGGTGATAAGGTTCCTAGGACTGTGCTCCACCACGCCCTCTCCAGGTGGGCCCAGTCTGTCTCTGCATTAAGAGCAGCTGTGCTTCTGGACAACTGTCTTACTATACAATTTTACTAATCTATGGATCACCAAGTGATTTATAATTTTATTTTACTCATTGAGAAGACGTTACTTTTGTTCTCTCTAAAGCAATTCCTTCAGTTACCTCTTTTCAAAATTCTGTATTGTTATGTAATTTTAAAGTTACTTCATATTCCTTTTGGGATAAGACAAGGTAAAAATATATAAAAAAATAAATTAGCTATAAGTAATTTGAACACTGTATGAGATGCTGAGATATGATAAGTTCTTCCTAATGAATAAAGATGGTTTTTTCCACCTTCTTTCCCTCCCTTCTCTTTCTCATGCTGAGAATTAACCTCCAAAAGTATTTGCTGAGAGACTTAGTAAATTCAAAAGAATTGTTTTTAAAAGTGGTGCTATGATAACAATAGTTATAATGAGAAATGTTAAAAAAGATCTAGGAAATAAACATCAAAGAACTTAATATTTATTTGTAAACTACATGACCGCTACCTAGAAATCTCAGTCTAATAAGCCACTGCCAGCAGCCTTTAAAAAGGCTTTATCTGCAAGCAACAGACACTTTTCTATGCCAGCCTGGTTGCCCACACTGGGTGCTGGCACTGACCAGGACATGTAATTTAATTCTGGCAGGAAATCACAGGAATCCTGATGAAGTATAACTTGATTGGGAATTTCATTTACATTAAAATGACTAATTAAATGTTATTTTCTGGAGGTCAGAAAATAATGTGACATAAATCGTTTCTCAAAGTTCACTGCAGGTGAAGAACTCATTCATTTGATTCTACCTATTATGTTATTTAGGGACCTCGTTGGGAGAGAAACATGCCTCAGGAATGCATGCTGCCTTAATCCTTGTGTGACTATATCTCTGCCCCGACTTAGACATCTATGTTGCTTTACCCTTCTCACACACAGGCTGTGGAGTACACTGAGGGCTGAATACATGTCCAGGGTGGGGAACAAAAAGATCAGTGATACTTAGTCTCTTAGGGAGCACAAAGTTATTTCGGTCATATTGGTCTCCAGCTGAATTTTCCTTAGGCTTTGACCTGAGGGTCTGAATCAGCTTGCACAGATTATTGAGAGATTGATCCCTTTACTGTGGGACCTCACTCATTATGTAGAAGCCAGAGTTAAAGCCATTTAGAGAACTATGTAGCTCCTAGATGAATTAAATCTACCCCTCTCTCTCCCACTTTATACCATGGTTCAAGGTTAAGGCTCCTTCACATTCCATGATCTGATCTCTAACAATCTTCACACAGTCCTCTCTTTCTACTCCCTGCACAGATTCTTTTATTTGTTCAACCAACATTTGGGAGTCTCTATATTTTAGGCATTGTGCTTGGCACTGGGAATACTGCTCTCCTGGAGTTTAAGTTCATGGAGGAGATGGACATCAACCAGAGGATCACATAAGCCAATTCAAATACCAGAATATATTAAAGGGGGGATGGCCCAGTCAGAGTCCCAGGAAAGTTTTCTCAAGGAATTTAGTGGGAGATTGTGGCCAGTGGAGGGAGGGTGGGAACTTTCAGGCAGAGGACGTAGCCAGTACAAAGGCCCAGTGTGTGGTCTCACATGCCGTGGATTACTAATAGTCATGTCTGGCACTTGTCCATTCCATTGCTGGGCTTTTACAAGTCCTCAGGAGTGTTTGTTCTGTGTGCTGAGTTGAACTGGATGTGAGAACTAGCTGGGGTGTTACCTGCCACAGGGCATATCTGAGATATCAGCAGCAACAGAACAGTGATCAAACTGTTGCACGCAGGTGCAGAAACACTGCTTATTTCTTAGGAGTTTTGTTTTGTTTTAAAAAATCCCTTCTTAGAACCTGACCTGGAGATTCTGTAACTATATAAGAACATGTCTGACTGTCTCTTGATATCATGTACAGCATTTAAAAAATTTTATTTGCATTTCTTGTAGCCATGTTTTTGAAAGATTTATATTGATCATATATTTCTGGATGTGAGACAGCTTGCTTTGTACCTTTGTTTTAAGGCTCAGTATACAACATAGCAACATCTCTTCAATATTCGATAGTGTTTTCTATTTCTATGTAGGCAAGCAATATGCCAAACTCAGTGACAGGGAGTTGATGGCTTTGTTTGCTGACTGTTTATTTCTTCTTCAATGTGAATATTTATTATTGTCAAATACTGCAAGTATCCAGAGATACACTATAATGACCCATGTTTCCAGGAAATATGAAATTTAGAGGTAAACACTACTTCACACAAAATGTTTTGTTTATACTAGTTCAGAAATAGCCATAAAGTTACATGAGGAGGTTTAAAACCTTTTTGGCCCAGTTCTATTTTAACTCTTTTAAAAATTTTCTCATGAAAATAAAAAACCCCTCTCTATGCTATCACTGGAAATTCAATTAAGTTAGAAGACAGCTTCAGTCAGCGCTGAATTGAGTGGGTAGCCAGAAACATGTTCTGAAATAGCTAATTCTGGTCATCTCCATGTGACATCATTAAGCAGAACAGAATCTTTCGACCTGTACTCTAGCCAGTCTTCCTGGTGACCTAACTGCTAGAGAAAGGAAAGGTAAAGGAAGGCTGGAAGATCTATGGTTGGTTAACTTTTGGGAAATACTAAAATATTTTCCAAACAACATAGATTTTAAAGATAATTTAATATGGACCTACTATATGCCAAATAAAAAAGGCAAGTGAGCAGCTGCAAAGTAGCTTAAGGGGAGGAAAAAGGAGAAACTGGTAACTTAAAGAAAGAGAAATAGTGATTTGGTCATTGTTTCCTCTTTCAAGGAATTTAAAATTACAAATAAAGGTCTTGATTTATTTTGAGATGGGTTTTGCTTACTGGACTCTTAATCATGACATGCCTTCTCAGACTGGACAGTGTGAGTCTTAGCTTCATTGTTGATTTTTATGCAC